AAGCAGATCATGTAGCGAGAGGAAGCAAGAGAGAGAGAGGAGGTGCCAGGGTCTTTTAAACAACCAGCTGTCATGGGAACTAATAGAGTGAGATTTCACTCAGACCCCCCTCCCCCAGGGCGAGCATTAATCCGTTCATGAGGGATCCACCCCCATGACTCAGCTTCCAACACTGATCCTCATTGGGGATCAGATTTCCACATGGGTTTTGGCGAGGACAACACATCCAAACTCTATCAGAGGTCTCTCCGCTAGTGAGCACTAGTAAGATTCAGACCTACGCACACTCTGCTTCCTCCCCACAAGCTGGAACAATTGCATTGTTCCGGCTTGCCCTGGATGACCCCCGCTTTGCCTAATCATCTGTGACCTTGAGCAAGATCAAGTAGCGCAGAAACGGCCTTGGTGAGTCTATTCCTATGGTGGGGGGGGACACACAATTCTCAAAGAAGAGGACTTGTGGGCTAGGGACGGACGTAAGAAGTGACCTCTGTAACCAGTTCAGAGCATCAGCTCTGAGCCCTTCCTCCGGGAAGACAGCTTCCTCCTTGATCTGGCTAGTGGTGACCCCATGCTGCCCTCACAGCAGGGGTGGACGTCAGGCACTGGGGCCCCTGACCCAGCTGCTCTTCTGTTTAGCTTCTCTGAGCCAGGCTGTCCTTCTGGGCCTTCTCCCCTTTTCCTGTACTCAGAGACGAGGAAAAGTTGCCTAACAGGATGAGGGTGGGTGTAACTGGCTGAAATGCCAGGTCAAGTATTTTTATGTGGGGAAGGAGAAAGAGGAGATAGAAAAATGTGTGTGCAGCCTGAGAAGCCTAAAGGAGAGCTCGGATCCTGAATAAGGAGTCTAGAAAATGAGCCCGTTGGGGTTCTGGTAGGAAAATTAGGATCGTTGGGCTTCCACCCTCTCACTTCCACATAGTATATTTTGGGGATGAGAAGTGATTCCTTTGTTTTGGTGGTGGTTTGCTTTGTTTTGGTGGAAGGAGAATTGACCCAGTCCTGCAGGTGAAAGCTCTCACCTCTTGATGCTGGAACTGGAGGGCCTGTCTCTGTCATGAGAAACATCTGCCACATTCCAACATTCCGGGCCCTGTGCCAGACAACCCAGTAACCATGAGAAAGCTGTCATCGTTGCCCTGAAGCCCCTAAAGACGGGCTAGACTGCTTGCGCAGGGAAGTCTGCCTTCACCCGCCTTGGCCCCCACCCTGATTTGCTCTCCATGGGGCCCCTTCACAGCCTTCAGCTGCTCCTGTTGACCTTGGGAAAACAGCCCACGTGTGTACCCCGATCCTCTCCAGCCTGGCTGGGACCTGGCCTCCTTGGCTTCTCCCCGCCGCAGCAGGGTCTTTGTGCTCGCTGCTCCCTCTGCTTGGAACACTCTGTCCTCCGAGGCCCACAAGCCTCCTTCTGGTCAAGGCAGGTCCTTATGTTTTCTCCTCGCTCTTGTGCCCTCAGCACCCAGCACGGTCTCTGGCACACAGTAGGGGTTAATTAAACTGTGTTCAGCGAATGATGGCATCAGCTAGGAAGAGCCTGAGTAGGACTGACCTTATGTTTTCTCCTCGCTCTTGTGCCCTCAGCACCCAGCACGGTCTCTGGCACACAGTAGGTGTTAATTAAACTGTGTTCAGCGAATGATGGCATCAGCTAGGAAGAGCCTGAGTAGGACTGATGCCAGGTCCCTGGCCTCAAGTCCCATGTTGGTGACCATGTGCAGGGTTTCTTCTCTTGGCAGAGGGACGTACAGTCAGAGAAGGTTCGTGGTCGTGGCAAATTTCTGAAACTGGGCGAGGAAACTGTCCCTCCTCTGTGCCGCCATTTCTCCCATTTGACATCTGTGATGGAGGTTCGGAGAAGCTAGCTAACTAGCTCAAGGTCACATACTAATCTGTAAGAGAGCTGGATCTGTCCCCCATTCCTCAGCCCTTGTCCTTTCTACCTTCCACTCGCTTTCTCGCTTTCACTGCACAGCTGTCCCTCCTGCAGTCACCCAGGGTACTTGGAAATGCCTCGAAGCTTCTCAGATGGTCCTGCTTTAGTGTGGAGCATTTGGTCTCATCTCCCTGAGGGCCTCCTGGGATTAGTTCCCTTGGCCATGCTCTTCCTCACTCGGGAGATCTGGAGCCTGGGCTGAGAGTGTGACAGTGACCAGTGCAGGTCGTTCCCCAGCCCAAGTCCTTGAGCAGCAGAGACAGGAGCCTCCAGGTCTGAATGGAACTTCCAGGTGGTACTGCCCCAGGGCCGTTCCTGCTGCAGGAAATTTAGGCCCCTATACTCAGAATTGAACATTCTCTCCCTGGACCCCCACTTTCCACAGTGCCGTGAGACCTGGGGTTATTTTTTTCGGAATTATTTGACTCTGGTACAGAGACAAGAGCCCTTTCTCAGGCCTTTGTCTCTCCCTTTTCCATTGCTTTTCCAAAATGTCCCTGAATCAACCCTCCCCACCCCGTCCCAAATACACAAGGGGCTCAAACTCTCCTACTGTGGGCCTGTCCCAGCGAGAGGCTGAACCAGAGATTCTGACCTGGGTGAAGATCTGGTTCCTCCTGGCTGGGGCAGACAGGTCATGAGACCATCCTGAGAACGATGTGTCTGCAGGGCCCTGCCAGCCAGGCAGGGTATGTGATGTATGCTCAGAGGGCCCAGTGCTTGGATCAACTGTCTCCTGTCCCTGTCTTAATAATTCCTAATGATGCTCGAGGAAGGGGACCTGCATTTTCATTTTGCAGTGGCCACACTAATTCCGCAGCCAGGCCCGGGGCTGAGGATGCTGTGCGAACCACGGTTCCAGCAGCGGCTTTCCCGGGAGAGACCCATCCAGCTCCAAATCACGTGTTCCTCGTCTGTCTTCTTGCCACCTTTTGCACCTTTCTTCTTTTTTCCATCATCTCTCCTCGTTTAGTGCTTATGAATTATAAGGGGGGGAGGGGGAAGGCTTGGAGGAGAAGCCAGATGAGAACTATCAAGGATAGAAAGAAATGAAAAAAAAAAGTTTCCTGGGTTTTGAAACCCCGTCAAGGTGGTTTTGTGGCTGAAACTGCCCTGCTTTTGAGGCCTGGTGTGGTTCTTGGGGAGTGTGAATAAGGCTCCCCTTTTCCTTCAGTTGCCTTGAGGATTCCCTTCCAGTTGGGGCAGGTGTGTGCGTGTCTTCCTACACGGGTGGCGCTTTATTTCCACTGCTGACTTTCCTGATGCTGCTGCTGAGCCTGAGTGAACTGAAGGAAGTGTGAAGTGCCATGCTTTCTACTGTGGTGGCCTCAGGTGCCAGGCAGCCTGAAGAGAAGCTGTGCTGTGGGTACTGGGCCCGCTCTTTCTCTCCATCTCTTTCCTTCTGACCCCTTTTCTGTCCCAACCTCCAAATCTTCTGTCCCAGAGCCCCATCCCCAGCTGCTCTAGTTTCCTTAAGCTGTCCCCTTGTCCTCTTCGCCACCAACCACACCCGTCTCAGTGAGATGTTGCTGAGAAGGGGCCAAGGAAGATCCTGTTTCCTCAGGAGCTGACATCTCCCCCAACCTGCAGGGCGTCATCCCTTCCCACTGTGCTGCCTGACCATTTCCCTCTCCAGTCCCCAAAACACCTTGGTGCAATGGAGAGATTTTAAGTGAAAGCAATTCAAAACCTATTCTATTCTGAGGATTTGACAATTCCTTGGACTGAACACAGCCCCAGGCAGCCTTGTTTCTTTCCTGTTTAGGCCCCTGTCCCTTGCCAGGTGGTCTCTGCTTCCTTGCAGCCCTCGACATGAGAGCATGCCTTCAAGTCCTTTCTTGCAAGAAACTGAATTCCCAAGCAGTCTGCTGGTTTTCTAGAAAACTTTGGTTACTGGCTCCTTTTTGGTTTTGACTGTGTGGTTATGAGTTTTAGTTGGTGTCTACTTGGGGCTTAGCTCTGGGTGCTTCTGTCATGCTGGGCTTTTGAACTGTCTCTTCATCTTGGTGCTAGAAGCATGCCTGATTCCAGAATGACTCCCTTTCTTCTACTGTTCTGGACTTTTCCATACTTTTCCCTCTTTTCTAGTCTGTTAACAAGTGGCAGTGAGATGGGCTTGGAGCCTGGGTTCCAGTCCAGGGTTTTTGCCATTGATTGGCTGTGTTTTCCTGGGCAAGTTACTTAAGATCCCTGGGTCTTTACTTCCTCATCCACAGAGAGGGGATAATGAGAGCATCTTCCTCCCTGGGTTGTTGGGAGGCCTCCATGCATTAATACACATGGAGTACTTATGTAAAGTGTTTATATGAAGTGCCCTCATGCCTAGTGTAAACTGGTCACTATGACAGTGGAGGTGGGATTATTGCCATTGGGACCAGCCAGACCTCAACCCAGAGCTGGGGACAGTCCCACCCATGCTGATTGGTAGGGCCTGGTAGGAAAGGCTGCCATGGTACTTACTAACCATGTACAGATCTAATCCTTGTGACCCTTGACAGGTGATTAGGGAGGGTGTCAGGCCTCAGTGTCCTTACTCTAAGTATCCGGCAACACTGCCCTATACAGTGCAGAAGGACAGTCAGGGTGTGTTGACTGAGTGCGTGCCTGCTGGCTGCGGTGACTTCCACTGACGTCTGTCTATCTTGGATGTTCGTTTCCAGAGTGTTCACGAGCCCACAGGCCCGAGTGAGGGTTATTTGCNCAAGTTACTTAAGATCCCTGGGTCTTTACTTCCTCATCCACAGAGAGGGGATAATGAGAGCATCTTCCTCCCTGGGTTGTTGGGAGGCCTCCATGCATTAATACACATGGAGTACTTATGTAAAGTGTTTATATGAAGTGCCCTCATGCCTAGTGTAAACTGGTCACTATGACAGTGGAGGTGGGATTATTGCCATTGGGACCAGCTGGCAGTGAGATGGGCTTGGAGCCTGGGTTCCAGTCCAGGGTTTTTGCCATTGATTGGCTGTGTTTTCCTGGGCAAGTTACTTAAGATCCCTGGGTCTTTACTTCCTCATCCACAGAGAGGGGATAATGAGAGCGTCTTCCTCCCTGGGTTGTTGGGAGGCCTCCATGCATTAATACACATGGAGTACTTATGTAAAGTGTTTATATGAAGTGCCCTCATGCCTAGTGTGAACTGGTCACTATGACAGTGGTGGTGAGATTATTGTCATTGGGACCAGTCAGACCTCAACCCAGAGCTGGGGACAGTCCCACCCATGCTGATTGGTAGGGCCTGGTAGGAAAGGCTGCCATGGTACTTACTAACCATGTACAGATCTAATCCTTGTGACCCTTGACAGGTGATTAGGGAGGGTGTCAGGCCTCAGTGTCCTTACTCTAAGTATCCGGCAACACTGCCCTATACAGTGCAGAAGGACAGTCAGGGTGTGTTGACTGAGTGCGTGCCTGCTGGCTGCGGTGACTTCCACTGACGTCTGTCTATCTTGGATGTTCGTTTCCAGAGTGTTCACGAGCCCACAGGCCCGAGTGAGGGTTATTTGCAGCTGGAGGAGCTGGTGAAGCAAGTGGTTTCTCCTTTCCTCGGCATCAGCGGGGACCGTGGCTTCTCAGGCCCCACGTACACGCTGGGTAAGGGGTGCGGCTCTCAAGTTGCCAGGATAATGATCCCAGTTATGTTTCACTGAGCACTGATCACGTGCTGAGCCCTTTGCTTCTGATGTGGGACTGTGCACATCTGTGCATATTAATCACTCACACTGATGGCCCGTGTTGAGTAACCTCCTCCCCCTCGGTGAGTCTTCCCAAAAGACTGATGTCGTGCCTCTGCAGTGGTGCTTGTCTGATCCACATCTTTGATCAGTGGCTTTGATCTTTTTTGTGTGCCTGGGACATTAATTTTTCTATATTTGATACCAGAAACTGCCTTATTACACCCTCCCCTCAGCTCGACTAGAAGAACTGCCCATGATGGATTTCCCTTTGAAAGCAGCTCAAAATGTGAGGCCAACGTGTTGGGCGTGTGGCCAGATGTTATCGAGCTGCTGTTCCCCACTCTATCTCTGAAGGTACCAGCAAGGAAAGGGGCTACTGGATTGGGGGACAAATCCTGTTGGGGCCATGTGAGGCCAACGTGTTGGGCGTGTGGCCAGATGTTATCGAGCTGCTGTTCCCCACTCTATTTCTGAAGGTACCAGCAAGGAAAGGGGCTACTGGATTGGGAGACAAATCCTGTTGGGGCCTTTTTTTGGTGGCTGTAAAGGTAAAATCAGGCTGCCTGAGTGTCAGGCTCTGTACTAGGCACCTTGGAGAATCTAGAGATGAATCAGATCTGTTCCTTCTCTCCATGAGACCACAGTCTCGATGGTCTGGATAGAGATAGCTATAGAATATAATTCGTAATAGCTCTCAGTGAGACCACAATCTTGGTAGAAATAGCTATATAATAAGATTTATAATAAAAGACATTCCTCAGTTACTGTCTGAAATGTGGGCCCTCAAAATGCAGGAATTGCGTGTTCATGTTCTATGCCAGGAATAGTGCCTGACAGATAGTGGACACTCAAAAAAATATTTGTCAAGCGGATGGCAGGCAACTGTACCCAAGGCCAGGGTGGCCAGCACCCACAGAGAGGTGCAGCGTGGAAACAGATGACCTGAATTGGAACCCCTTGCCCCCCTCTTCTCGCTTTAATGGAGTTGCAGCTGAGCCTCAGAGAAAGAGGGAAAGGAGCCGCTTCCAGAGAGGTCCCCGCTCCTTCCTGGGCCTCTCTTCCACAGAAAAAGGCAGGGCCGGCTGGCAGTTTTCATGGCCTTGGTTGTGTTTTTCTGGAGGCACCAACTTGACCACAGCCACCGTGGATTGGAGCACTGGCCCCAGCCTGCTGCCTGCAGGGCTCCCTCCTCCCTGCTCACTCACTCCCTCTACTCACGGAGCTGGAATGAGCCACAGCTGAAATGACACTGAAGGAAAACAGTCTCCTGCCCTCTCCAGCCCTGAGCCAGGGACCGTATTGCTGTGGTCTCCCTGGAACCCGCCTTCCTGCTACTGGCTTGGCTCACCGAGTTTGGGGGAACAGGGGGATCCAGAGAGACGTCAGGATGCCAGCAGGATGCATAACTGGGCCATGGCAGAGGACTCCACCATCATCTGGGCCAGTTTAGGGAAAGAAAAATAGTTTTTCTTCAACCCTCATAAGCCCTTAGTTGGAATAGATGCATGTAACAGATTCGAGAGAAGAATAAGTAAGTTTATTAACATGTGTATTTTGTACATACATGGGACACACCCGGGGAACAAGTAGTTCTCAAGAGGTGGCTCTGAATGGCAGCTGATAGAGCATCTCCAGCAAAGAACAGTGCATTTTCAGAGCAGTGACAAGACAGAGGGAAAACAGTCTCTAGGGGTGGCGCCTTGTGAGAAGGCAAATGAGGGACAGATAAAGGCTAGTTAGTGAAGCTTGTTAATAAAGATTCCTCTGGGACCACCTCTAGCAGACAAGAGTCTAGAGCTGTCTTCAGTGTTTAACCCTCCCTGGTAGAAGGAGAGTGGGATACCTTTCGTCTTTGTAAATTTATGTCCTGCTTTTAACAAATAGAGGGAGAACAGAGAGGTTTCCTGTATCTGCTGCTTAATTGCCTTCAGCTCAACAATCCTCATGCCCAAGAGGCATATTTGGGGCTGGCATATTCTAGTCTCCCACACCAGGAACAGAGTCGATTTGGAAGTTTGTTAGTAAAGACTCTATAGGGGCATCCCTTTAGCTTTACAGCTAAAAGAATAATACACACTTTTGTCAAATTATTAAAGCAAAGACCTGAGTTTTTATTCTTCTACCAAGGCTAATCTTTGGAGAGTTGTCTCATTGGGGCAGGGAAGGAAGGACATTATCTTCTTTTGATTAATTTTTGTATTATTATTTTAGCATATGTGCCAGGCAGCCCGTGAGATGCTGGAGATATATCCATGAACACAACCAACCCAGCCCTGCCCTCTGAGTGCACACAGTCCAGTGAGGAAGTCACAGACAAGGCAGTGACTCATAGGTCTACAAATGCTCTGAGGGAGTGTGTACAGGGGTCACGGAGCCCATGGTAGGGGGACCGCTCTTGGGCCAGGAAGTCAGAGAAGGCTTCCTGGAGGAAGTGATGTCTGTGATGGGATGGGACTTGTACGATGAATATGAGTTAGTTGAGTAAACAGGGAAGGAAGACTATCCCCAATCAAAGGGAAGGAACTTTGGGAGGATTTGGAGGGCAGGGGGTGATCAAGAGGTTAGAGCATTTGAGGAACTGAAAGAGCTTCTGAGTAGCCAAGTAGCATAAGGCAGGGGAAGCCACTGGACACAGATCATGTTCTGGGCACTGTGCTGGGTGGGCTGGATACCCTGCCATGGAGTTAGCACTGCTGTCCCCATTTCACAGGTGAGGCAGATGAGGATTAAGGTTACTTGGCTGTTGGATCCTGGATTCCAGAGCCTCAAGCCGTTTGCACTTTACCAGCTGCCCCATGTGTCCTACCATTGCCCTACACCACCACTGACAGCATTTAAAAGGTGACCTCATTAAGAGACAGCTGAGGAGGAGGTCCTTCCCTCCTGTTTCTTAGCCCAACAGGTATCCCAGGAAAGAGGTTTCATCCCAGACCTCTAGATTCTAAAGGCTAAAGTGGTCACAATGGTGCCTTTCCTTACTGAGGACACCCCTTTCCAGATAAGGAGTGGACTCTGGGGCTCAGTCTGCCCCTCAGTAAAATGGGGATAATAATGTTTATTCCACCTATGGGAGAAGGCACTGAGATGACTAGCTGAAGTAAAAACTAGGGGTTGAGCTGGGCATGAGAAATCACTTTGCCCACGGGAGGGCCTTGTCATGGCTTGCTTGGTGTCTGAGCAAGGACGGGAGGGTTCAGGGAAGCTGGGGGATCACCTCCAAAGCTGCCACTTACCAAACGGCCATCACATTGTATAGTGACCGGGCTCTTGGCACACATTCCTTCCTTTCTTAGCCTGCTAGTGTGGGTGCTGTCGTCACCATGGTCTCTGGTCACCCACGAGGTAGATGGCCAGAGCCAGAGAAGATGCTCATTCGTGGGGAGCTCCTCACTGCACCCACATTCCCATGCGTGGCTCCCCCGGAGGATTCTTGGGAAGTCTGTCTTCCAGCCAGCCGGGCCTCACGCCCTGGATGTGCGGGCTCGCTTCAGAGAGCCAGGATGAGTCATCGAGGCCCGTGACGGAGAGGGCGAGAGTGTGCGTGTGGGCGTGTGTGCATGCATGTGTCTGCGTGCGCCCTGCTCTCTGACGCGGTCACCTTTCTGCAGTGGGAATGTGGACATGAGGTGGAGGAAAGTGAAATGAAAAAAAAAAAAAAAGGCATTTTCATCAGGGGCGCCGTTCCACTTTTTCTGAACCCAAAGGTTCAAAGCTGCTGCCTTGGCCCCCATCTCATTGCTGCTTACAGGGCCCTCAGCCTGCACCCCAGAGCTTGCTTTCTCCCGCACAGAAGCCCTGCCCTCCTGCAAATCTCCTTCCATGTGTCTGCGGGGGCAAAGGGGGACCCTTCTCCTCCTGGGCGCTGGTGCTGCTGCCTCAGTCAGGATACTGTAACTTCTCTGCATGACAAGTGGGCATTCTTGTGCTTTCAGGTGCCTGATCTGGAGAGGGGTGCCCACAATGGGCTTGGTGTGCAGGGGTCACAATGGCCACATTATGGCCGATACACCCACTGGTGGGGCCCGGCCGGTGAGCCTGGGAGATCAAAGACAGGTGCCTGATCTGGAGAGGGGTGCCCACAATGGGCTTGGTGTGCAGGGGTCACAATGGCCGCATTATGGCCGATACACCCACTGGTGGGACCCGGCCGGTGAGCCTGGGAGATCAAAGACCTGGGAACCGAGTCCCTAACAAAGGGTCCAAGGACGGCCTTATCCAGGCTTTGCTTCTCTCTGGGGGTTTGAAAGGAGCTGCCCTTGCTGGCTGCTGTGCAGGGGGATGAATGCCCGTGCTCAGCAGGGTGCCTGGGGAGGGCGGGAGGAATAGAGGCTCCCCAGCCCCACCTTGTGTGAAAGTCTGGAGGAGGAAGTGGAGGTGGCCTGGAGGCAGGTGCCAGTTGAGGTGGCAGGACTCAGCCCTCTCCCTGCTAAAAGGCACCATTGCAAGGGAAGGACCAGTTTTTAGGTCCCAGAGGATACCCATGAGGTAACCAGTTCCTCCGTGGGAGAGTCCCTTCTCTGGGTGACAGGGCCCTGCCTTCCCTGGTGCAAAGGGTGGGGGGAGTGGACGAGAAGCAGGAGTGTGGGTAGCTATCTGTCAGCCCCAGGCCTAGGATTCAGTTTTAAGGCCTCCCAAGGGGCCCAGTGGGGACACAGCTGACGCAGTTGTCTGATGGTTGGCTCTGGAGTCTGGCGGCTTAGCAAGGCCCCTATGGTCTCGGATCTGCCCACACCCAGTCTTGGGAACCAAAACATTCTGCCCAGAAAGCAGAAGGAAGAGCTGTGGTCCTCTCCCATGAGTCATCAGCAAGGAGAGGGAGGCAACATGGAACGAGTGGGGCCTTGGGAACCACGAGGGCTGGGGCTCAGCTGTGTGGCCTGCAGCAAATGACTTCACTTCTCTGAGCTGCTGAGGGCT